TAACATTAGCCAGGCACTCCCCTTTATGTAACACCATCAGATACTTTCTCTCTAGATTTTTCCAGTGCCCATCAGAGTTTTCAAGTTCATGTTAGGACCAATATAGTGTATACTAAGCTGAAATCAAATATAAGAGAAATGAACTCTTGCTTTTAGTTATGCTGGGTAACTAAATTACTTAAAGTAAGCATTCTTTATTGTTTGAATACACACTTATACTGTGTATACTTGGCATACGTAAGTCTACACACAATATGGCATAATTTAATGCAAGGAACTCAAAACCTGAGACCAGAATAGCTAGTTTCAATTTCTGGTGTTTCCACCAGTAATAACCGAACTTTCGCAAAGTCACTATCTCAATGAAAACCAGAGATCACAAACCTTACAAGAAAAGTAGCTGAAGTTGAGGTCTATGCAATGTTAACATTAGGCCCATAAAATCAATATTAAATGAAACGATGAATGACACAGGTAAAATTGTTAAGGGAAAAGATCTGCTCATTTGCAGAAACATGTTAATATTTGTCAGGCACTCCCTTTTATATCACACTATCAGACACCTTCTCTTTAGATTTTTCCGGTGTCCATTGGAGTTTTCAAGTTCATGTTAGGACCAAGATGATTTTGAAGACACAGGTGCTTCTCTCAGTGACTCTACCTCCAGCCAAAGAGGTCTTCCTAAACACAGGCAACTCTCCTCTGAGTTTCTGAGTTTCTTCTAAGTTTGGCAGCATGTACCACTCTCCACGCTCTACGCATTTGGAAGCCAGAACTTATTCCAAGTTGACTATGCAATTGATGTAATAAATCAGTGGCAGAACATTAACTAAGAACTCTTCGAGAATAATATTTGAAAAAAATTTTAAAGTGACCACATTGAAAATCTGATGAAAAACGTCAGCAGTATAGATTGCAATTGTCAGAATGCAAACCTCAAGGGGCAGATGCTGTCCATTTTATTCACTGGTGTACATCCTGCAATTTTATAAGTGTGTCTGGCTCATGCTAGGGAAGTGAGAACTCAAAGAATATCTGTTGAATGAAGAATGAATATTAAAATGATGAAAAAACTAAGTGCCTAAAAATAAAGTCATGGGCCTGTACACACTTATGTAAAAATACGAACAAATAAAAATATTACTGGGAACTTTGGGGATCTTTGGGTTAAAATATCCAAAAATGATGCTACAGCCAAGGTAATGATCGACATAAAATAAATTTGGACTTCTCCCAAGGAAATAAAAGCATGTGAACAATGATATTGTTGCTATGGCTTTCCACACTATTCATATAAAACTACACAATATTTCTATTTTTGTGACGTACTTAACTACACAATAGTAATATCTTTATTTGGTGGTTTGTTGGCAAAGTACAGAAATTAGAGTATTTCATCTTCCCTTGTAAAATAGGAAAGGCTGATACCATTATGGCTACTTCACAGATGAAGAGATTTAGGCTCAAGGCTATTAAAGGCCTTATAAAGATACACTGATCAATTGTTAAGTCCCTGTTTAGGAAGAAAATGTAAATAATTAAAAACTAGAAGTAAAAACAAAATAACAACCGTAATACTACAACAAATGTATCCAGATATTACTCAAAGCCCTTTCATATTGAGCTCTTATCAATGACACTGTGAGGTTTGCAGTAGTTTTAATTCAATTTGTCAGATGCAACAGCAATGGCCTGGTAAGACTAAATAACCCTCACTCACTCATCCATGTATCTAGTAAATCGTGGAGGTGGGACTCAAACCTATGCTTTCTGACATCAAAACATGCTTCAGAAAGCCTGGCTGCCCACTACTCAATTCTTAATCCTGTTTTTACCATGACCTCTATAATTGTATGTGTTGAGATGATGCACACAAATATATTATCAATCTTTCTGTAATTCTTATTATAAATATTACACATCTGCCCTAAAATTGCACATGCCCTTGGAATGTTTTTTCAATTAATGGTGGTGGGCCACATCTACCAAGGTTACCTAGATCCTGTTTTAACCATTAGTTATAAGTCAGCTGCCCAATGAAGGAAGATATTTGTGATTGTGAAGCTCACAGACCAACTAATTGCGTATGTCAACTAACTGGTTGTTGATATACACTGGTGTATACAGAGAGGCAGGGATGACCCCAGCAGCTCCACACAATTCCCAGCAACCAGCTATATTTCTCTTCTGTGCAAGCTGCTGGGAAACTTCTCGAGTGCAGAAGTAATGTTAAGGGCACCACTAGCCTACTGGTCTTCTCTGTCTCTTAACTGTTGCATAAGATTATAAACTTTCTGATAGACATTCACAGTGTATGCTCAAATCATGTGTATATGTGAACTCAATGCCCTCTCAAATATTCAGTATGCATGAATTTTATCTTAGCTTTTCTCCTTTTCTCCAAAGCTGAAGCTTAAGCAGACACTTTGACAAGAAAAGTAGACCAGTAATTAATTCATTCAAGCATTTGAGTGCCTTCTCCATATGAGGACCCAGTACTGAGTGCCTACTGATTTTGCTATACTTTACTTTGAATATTTTAAGTCACTAAAAAACGTGCCAGTTCATAATCTAGAGACCCTTTTTGTTGATTGGTTGATTGTTTAGTTGATTGATCGGTTGCTTGGATGGTTGACGGTTTGTTGGAAAGAAGGATGGGACAGGATATGATAAAGAATATAACTCTCCTTTCTTTTTCCTTACACACACTCATACACACACATAAACTTTGGCTTAGTCCCCAATCCCTTTTACGTTAATTTTTTGTATTCAGTATTGCACTTGACTGACACAAGAAAGTCACTGTAGAGAAACAGGTTTCCTCTGAGGTAAAGCTGGTTTCCACAGTGCTAAATTGCTCGTTTAAAAACATGCATTGGTCCTTAGGTGCCTACAGGGCAACAGTGCTCACATCAGCCACAGATCACTCCAGGCCAGAAGGAGTAACATATTTGTACTGCACATAAACAACACCAGGCCATGCCATGCCATTTTATTTCATGCATGTTGGCTCCCATTTAGAAAAAAGAAAACCTCATTATCTTGTGGCATATATTTGTAAGGTCAGTGGTTGGTTGTTTTCACTTTGAAAACTACTTTTACATAGATGATTGTGATTGCTTGGAGCTTAGACAAATACTCAGATCTGTGAACAAATATGTCTTAAAGCATCCTTTTCCCTTCTCCTCCTGAGTTCCTTTAGGTGTGGGGGATATAGGAAAGGAAAATGCTACCTTATACTTGTTATACAGGGAGGAGGAACACTGGCTAGCACAGCCATTTCTAGCATCCCTAGATTTGTCTCTTTCAAAAGGTAAAATACATAAGCAAAACCCCAATTAAGTTAATAAGTATTGGAAATTATAACACACGCACACTCATTCCTTACTTTGTATTGTTCAGAATTTTTTTTTTTTTAACCAGGGTGAGTAGAGTTGATTGCGTTCCCCAAAACCCAGGATGTTAAACCTAGAACTTATCTCAGGTAAAGGATATTTCAGTTATGTATAGTAGTAAGTTTTTTAAAAAAATAAATACTTTGAATCTGTTTTAGAAAAGACCCTAAACTATCCAATACAATGCACATTAAAATTACCCATAGTCTAGAAAAAAACATGTCTGCAGTAAAAGTTAGTATGTGGGATCTGCAGCTCAAAGTAGCACATTTCTATTTTTCTTTTAATGGGCATGTTCAGTGATTAAAAAAATAAAACCCACTATGTTCTGAATTTTTGTAAAGGGGCTGACTGTAAGTCAGAGCTAGCACAGTAACTAAGAAATTTCAACTGCTCAGGAAGTGCCACTATGCCGCTGCCTGGTACTGTTCCTGGCATATTCTGTTAGTTCCTGGAAAGGGTGAGTTAGAAGTCCTCAGAGATCAGGGCTTCACTCTTGTGGTTGAAAGTGGAAGAGAGGAGAAGCTAAGAGACCCATGCGATGTCACAACTTCACCTGGGGCTCCCTCTGTGACTGTGTCTCTAAGAAGCCGGATGGGTTGGGAAAGGAGGAGGGCAAATGAGATTAAGAGAACAGTAACCGGGTTTGGTTTGAAAGGCGAAGAGCTGTGTCAACCCTCAAAGCTCAGAAATTGCCCTATGCAGCCACAGACCAAACCTTGGTGGTGAGTGCTGTACATTTATGGCTGTGAGTCCACGCCCCTTCCACTGTCCTTGCCTTTTGTCATCTTTGTGCTGCCCACATTTAGCCTTCCAGTGCCTTTTTTTTTTTTTTAATCTCATTTGAGATCAGAGCCCTGAATCTCCTACGAAGCTACCTGGACTGGGAACTGGATCATGCTCAGTGGCAGGCAAGCGGGCAGATTAGGGAGCAAGTGGGAAACGTTAAGTGTCTGCTGACGTTGCTAACTGACCGTCCTTCTCACTCTTCGAATCTTCAGCTCGAAGTCAGATCTGAACCCTGCCCCAGTCTAGTGGAACCCGTCAGACTTGGCAGACTCCATGTGGAAGAACCCAACTGAGGCATAAAAACTTGGAGGCTCTGGGGTAACAGGCTCTAGAATATTCCCACACCCCTAGTGGTCCGTGTATTCTACTCTTGAGATTCGTGCATACTCGCCAGTGCCCAGAGCCCAGGTTGCCAGGCACTGGGACTGCGGATCTGGACTGACAGACGCCCACCCAGGAGGCTGAGAGAGCTCATGTCTGCACCCAACTCAAGTGGCTGCAGCGGCGCGCGATCCCTTGCCCAGAGTAGGGGTGCCCGTCCCTGCGAACCTGGATCCCCGCACTCTAACCCGCGTTCCTGGAGCCCAGATTGAAAACCCCGCCAACTGTACCTCCCTGGAAAGTCCGGCACCCTCTAGGAGGGAAGCAGTGACGCGGCTCCCGGTTTGCTGTGTAGCCTCCCGTGCGCACTGACCTCCACCTTCCCTAGCTCCTGCTCCTGCGCCGCCGCGCGCTACCTCGCCCGGGACCCGCTACACCCGCGTTGGTGCCGCGAGCTACCACGTCTCTCGAGCAGGCAGCCTGGGGCTCACTCACCGATCCTGAGTACTTGCGGGGCGGTCTGAGGGAGGATATAGCAGAGGAAATAGAGGAGTGCCCAGCTGGTGTCCCTGGTCCAGAGCCCGGGCTGGGCGAGGAGTGTGCCGAGCTCCATCTTCCTAGCTTCTTAATTCATGCCGAGATACAGCCGCTGCCGGACGCCCGAGAGATGCACCCAACTTGGGCCGGGTCCCCGCCTCATCCTCTCTGGATGCTCCGGTTCCAAGCACGCTGCGCGCTCCCCACGGAGCGAGCTCTAGGGAACCCGCGTGGGACCGCGGAGCTGGCTGGCAAGGCTGCGCTCGCTCGGGGCTCCTCACTGCTGTCGCTAGCCCATCACGGCTCCTCCTCCTCCTCTTCCATCGGCCGCAGACCGCGGAGGATCAGCGCTCTCCGGCTCCGGGAGCCCAGAGACGATCTGAGGAAAGTTGCTGCCCCAATCTGCAGGAACGTTTCCCTCATTCGTCCTCTGGTCAGATGCAAAAGTGGGGGGTAGGCGCAGACAGAGGAGGGGAAAGGGGGAAAGAAGACTAACGAAGAAGGAGAGAGAGTACTGGGTGAGTTGGTGCAGGGGCTCTGAGCAAGCCTGATGAGTTCCAGCAGGTTAACTGGGAGCAGAGCCACGTTCTGGCCTCTCTCAATCTTTGCTTTCCTCCTTCCCTCGCTGGCCCCACCCTTTATTTACTGCCCGCCCCAACCCCACTGATCAAGATACTCGCGCGCGCGCGCACACACACACACACGCACACACACACACACACACACACACGCTCTTTTTCTCTCCCGCAACTTTGCACTCTGCTGCTGGGAAGTCGATCGAGTGTTGCATTCTTAAGACAGATCAAATCTAAACTATTGGTCCTAGTAGAGAAAGCCTCTGCTGTCCGCTGTGAGTGGCAAGGAAGCCTCCTTGGTAATGTCCCTGTGCACCTGTTAGCGGGTCTTATAGACAGTCAGGTATGACTCGACCCATCATTTAATGGAAAATCGCCTCCAATATTTTGGAAAATATGGGGGCTGCTGTTTTAACTCTCACAAGGATGAAGAAGAACAGGGGAAGGGGGAGAGGAATGAGAAGGCTTCAGTACTCCAAGATTATAGTGGCTTCATTCCTATTTGGACCCGAGATAATCTCTTGCAAATTGCTTCCATTTACACGTGCCACTGAGATCGAAGCAGCCTCCAGCGCCGCTGCTTTTCTTCATTTCTTTTAACTGTCAGGTTTGAACACTGAAAGATAGGCTATTTTAGCAATGTAGGTTTGGAGACTATTTCTCTGTAGAAGGACAAGGACACTTCCCTAGGGAAATTAGCATTTGATTATGTTGGCTTAATTTCCTTCGAGTTTTGTGGGGAATGTTCTATAAAAATGTTTGCTAGTTCTGTATTAACATCTCTTTTTTTTAAAACTGAGTATAGATTTTGAAGAACTGACCTAATCCATATGAAAAGTATGTCCACAGTTATATGGGCCTAGAATGGGAAACAATTGCAAAAGGAATCTAATATATCTTAAAGTGCATTCGTGCATTCATTCATTTATTCATTCATTATTGTTGAATGAATGAATACCTACTGAGTATCTTGTATGTGGTGTCAGACACTATACTTTTTACTAAAGACCCTATAGCGGGGAAAATGCATGTTCATTCCCCAAAGGAGGTTAGAACTCCACTGTGGAAAGCTAGTCAGTTCATATCTCAAGTAGTAGGCTTGGTTCTGGACACGTTGGGATGAGAGTTAACAAGGCAGAACATATCTGCAGATAAGAAGAGGGGTTGATATGGATTTAGGAATGCATTTTTGCATGGAAAGATTAAGGAAACCAAGAAGAAGTAGGAGCGCATGCTGGTTATCTTCAGACATTTGAAGAGCTCTTGTGTTAAAAGAAAGTAGCCTTATTCAGTGTTAGTTATGTGGGAAGAACTAAGAAAAATAAGATTGTCAGAGGGAAATTGTAGAAGAGTAAATTTTGTCTCACTTGGGGAGCATTTTTAAGACCAGAGAATATCAAACAGCAGCAAGGATGGGTGTGTTGGCTTACACTGGAGCACTTTGGTGATGTTGAGGAGGGAAGATGACCTAAAGCCAGGAGTTCAAGACCAGCCTGGGAAACATAGCGAGACCCTTCCTGTGCAAATAAAAGTAACGAAAACAGTAGCAAGACCTGCTTCAGAAAAGTGTCAAACTATTCATTTATTTCTGCGTATTTTTTGAGAGCCCACATTGTGTAAGATATTGTGCCAATCTCTGGAGACACAGATGGGTATGATTTCTGCCACCGTGGAACTCATGGGCATTAAAGTATGATGAGCTTTACAAAATGATGCTATGGAAGTAAAGAAAAAAAGGAGCCTAACCTCATTTAAGAGTTTGGAAAGGGCTTGTTCAGGAAGTGATTCTTCAAAACACAAAGAATGGGTGGTTTAAAAGGGATTGATAAGCATTTCTTAAAGTGAGAATGAATGTAAATCTGTTAGAGGATTTATTTTTAAACCTAAAGGTCTGTGGCAAGCATTTTTAATCATCTATTTTCTCTGGGAACATTAAAGACCAATACATAGTAGATACTACATGGCTAAAGTTTGAAGACCCAAGGTCTAGAATAAAGTGAGCTTTTGAACAAAGTGGGTTTAAATTCTGGTTTTACCAAGTCTATGTTTTTAGCTTTGGTTAAATTTCTATATCTGCCTGTAGTCCATTGCTGGCGCTTACGCATACCTAATTTTCCCCTTCTCTGGCTCAAGAAAGCCTGTACCTTTTCAATTAGTTGGCATCTACCTTTTCAATTAGTTGGAATCATGTGACCATTTTTGGCCAATAAAATATGAGTGTAAGTGCACCATTGCCAGGAGAAAAGGAAGACAGTGAAAACAGATCCTGCATGGCCCTCCAGGACTCTCTTTCCCTGCCAGAGTAACTCTGAAAGCCACAAGGTCTAGAGGTTAAGATGAAAGCAGCCTCAATCCCTGAGTAATTTTTTATAGGAGTTGCTCTGAATGTTTCTAGAACAGCAACACACTGGTAACAAATCAGTTCTAGCTCAATGTTGTGTTTTAATCCACTACAATTTTGAGATGTTTGTTACTGCAGCATAAGCTACTCTATACTAACTAATAAACTCTCTATGACTTGATATCTTCATCTGTAAAATGAGAATAATAATAACACTACAGGGCCATTGGAAGATTATATGAGCTACTGCATGTGAAGGATTTCCCACGGTCCTTGTTACTCAGCATATATTAGTTTATTTGTGGTCATTACTTTTCTGGTTAAAGGAATCCATGCATACATTTCTAGTAGTAATCTGCCCCAGATTGCGGAGACTGAAATATTTTGTTTTTTGGACAAGAAGTCAACAACACTGGTCCAATTAATTATATGGTAATCATAATTGTTCTGATACTATTTCAAGAGTTTTGCTACTTTTTACCTGTATTATCTCTGGTTTATGAGGAAACAGTTCATTTTGATAATTAGAGATATTAGAGCAATTTCCTAAAGGAAGTTTTTTGAAAACTAAATGGCACACTGCAGTTACATTTCTGTATCATCTGTAAAATTCTGTAAAGCTTAAAACTGAATTTTATTTCCTTGTTAAAATGCTTCTCTCCACTGCTCATGTACACAGGCTCATGGTGTTGAGTTACTCATGAGTGATCAGCAGCTGCTGTTAATTTGTTTTGTGCTTTTAAGAAGGACTGTATTTTGTACATATATTCATCTAGTTATTTTTTGCCCAAAATGACTCTGGTAATCGCTGTTGATTCACGTTTTCTCATAGTGTCCTCTTAAGAATAAACATGTCTAATTGAATGCATGCTGTCTTTTTCCCGTTCCCCAAATCTTAAGCTTAAATTGATACACTGTGGTTAATAACAAAACAATACAATGACATGCAGCATTGTGCTTCCTGTGAGAGCTGGTGGCATTACTTAAATACTAACCCATTTTAAATTACTTAATTTTTAGAAGATAACTGGTACAAAGAAAAATAGCTTAGAGTAACCTGGGGAATGCAAATGTTATACAGTCTTTTCAAAATGTTGTGAGCATACCTGAGGATACTTAAAATATTACTCAGGGCACCAAAAACAAAAGATCAAGTGGTTTTTAGAGCCTGCTGGGACTGTGTGGCTGATGTAGGATCAAAATCTTGAGTTCTTGACCTCTTCTTTATGCTTTTTTTCACTAGGTGATGTCATGTATTTCTGTGATGCTAAATACTACCTTTTAGCCAAAGATTCTCAAATGTTGTCTTTTGCTCAGACCTCCAGGTTCATGCAGCCAATTTTAATGACCATTTCTGAGAGAGTCAGCATCTCACATCCTTGATTCTGTCCCACGTCATTGCTCCACACTGAATCCTCTCCCAAATTTTCTCATTTCAATATGAACACCACCTTCCACCCAGCCATTAAAACTGGAAAATCAGGAGGTCACCCGTCATTTTTTTTCTTACTTCTTCACCTACTCCCATATCAGTTTTTTTTATAATGGCTTTACCTCCATAGCATGTCTTTAGTCGACTTCTCTACACTCCACTGATACCATACTAGCCTGGGGTTTCTCAACCTCAAAACTTTTGATATCTTTGGTTAGAAAATTATATTTTATGAAGGCTGTTGTCCTGTTCATTGTAGGGCTTATAGCAACTTCCCAGGACTCTCTCCACTAGATGTCAGCAGTATCCTCCTCCCAAGGTGTGACAACCAAAAATGTCTGCAGACATTGTCAAATAAATGCCCTCTGATGTACAAAATTACCCCTGATTGACAGCCACGGCACTGACCTAAATCACCATGATAGTCCATCTTCCATCTGGTCTATTACAATAAACTCTTAATTGTCTCTCTTCTCTCATTTGCCTCTTTCTATCCATCCTATCTGTTTGATCTAAATTAGCTCCTCCCATTAGCTGTCTTCACAAGGCCCTTCTTAAATCCCTCCTGGTCATTATCAACTCTCTACTTGTTTTATTTATTTTACTACAAATTCTCTGATAGTGAACTCTTTGTCTGCTCTGTTTGCCTGATACCTTAGTGTGTAGCACTGTGCCTGGTACTTAGAGGGAGCTTGGTAACTACTCACTGAATGAATAAATGAATGAGTGATGCTCTCTCATAAGACGTACAACCTATAAATTACAGCAGCAGATTTGTAAAACTGAGTTGAATAAGAAGCCTAATTTCTCTTTTAACTTAATTCAAAGCACCTACATTGATAGGCTTAATGTTTAGTGTTATCCTGAGTTCATGTCTAGGAAAACCAGAGTATAACTTGACATGTGCTTCTTCAGATTTCGGCAAAATGCTATATGGAGTAGGGGTTTCTTTTATAATTTCATTTTCAGCAAGGTGGCTATCATTACACATACCTTAACAATTTTACTGTAATTTCTGTACTAACACTGGTCTATTTGCCAAAGCACTGTGGAAAGCAGCTGCAGTGAAATCTTCGGGGAAAAAAAAAAAATGTAGTCCCAGCTACTCGGGAGGCTGAGGCAGGAGAATGGCGTAAACCCAGGAGGCGGAGCTTGCAGTGAACTGAGATCCGGCCACTGCACTCCAGCCTG